TCTTGCCTGGAAGTGTGTGTGTGTGTGTGTGTGTGTGTGTGTGTGTACACATTTTTTTTTACCCATTTAAATGTATGTGTGCAGTTACTCTGTTGTGATGGTAAGATGTTTCTTGCTATAAGTTGCCATCAAGTTTTAATGACCACTGTTCTCAATTGTGTAATTCATAAACCCAGATCAATAAAAGTGGAGAACAGTTTGGATAAATGAAAAGTCACATTATTTGGATTCTTCCCCTATGTATTTGCACAGTATGTAAAGGACACCTGTTGACACACGTATGGACTATAGCCTGGTGTGTGTACTCTGGGAGGGATTTTACATGGTCTTACATAGGCAAGGGTCCACAGGAGGCATTCTTTGGCAGTTTGTGGCCTACATTGTATAAACATATAGGAAAATTTGGCCAGATTTCACTAGGTGTGTTATTACATGGACATAATTTCTTTAGGCCTAAGTATAAAACATGATTTTATTGAATCAAATTAAGAGTAGTCTTTACCTCTCTGGAATTGCATTGTTAAACTAAGTAATAGCATCCCATGGTATTTGTACTCATTCTATTCCTGAAAACATATATACAGTACATTTTTGGAAAGCCAGAGCCTCGATTTTGTTGCTTTTAATGGGAAAAGTTATGCTCTTAGCCCAGCTGAAACCAGCACCAATTTCCCCCCAAATCATAAAAATCCTCTTAAACACCTGCATAACAAAGTATTTTTTAATATATTTTATTGATTATCTTACTACATTTGTAACATTTTCCCCCCTTTATTCCCCTCTGCCCTGTACACCCCCTCCCACCATCATTCCCCCACCTATATTTCATGTCCGTGGGTTCTACATATAAGTTCTTTGGCTTCTCCATTTCCCATACTATTCTTAACCTCTCCCCATTTTTCTGTACCTACCGTTTATGCTTTGTATTCCTTGTACCTTTTCCCCCATTCTCCCCCAACCCCCTCCCCAGTGTTAATCCCCCATGTGATCTCTATTTCTGGGGCTCTGTTCCTGTTCTAGTTGTTTAATTAGTTCGTTCTTGCTTTGTTGAGTTGTTGATAGTTCTGAGGTTGTTGTCATTTCACTGTTTATATTTTTGATCATCTTCTTTTTTCTTAGATAATTCCCTATAACATTTCATATACTAAGGGCTTGGTGAATGGTGAACTCCTTTAACTTGACCTTATCTGGGAAGCACTTGATTTGCCCTTCCATTCTAAATGACAGCTTTGCTGGAGAGAGTAATCTTGGGTGTAGGTCCTTGCCTTTCATGACTTTGTGCTTGCAAGGTTTCTTTTGAGAAATCAGCTGACAGTCTTATGGGAACTCCTTTGTAGATAATTGTCTCCTTTTCTCTTGCTGCTTTTAATATTCTCTCCGTATCTTTAATCTTTGGTGATATAATTATGATGTGCCTTGGTGTGTGCTTCCTTGTCCAACTTTTTTGGGAGGACTCTCTGAGCTTCCTGGACTTCTTGGAAGGCTGTTTCCTTTGCCATATTAGGAAAGTTCTTTATTATTTGTTCAAATAAGTTTTCAGTTTTTTGCTGTTATTATCCTCCTTCTGGCATCCGTATGATTCGGATATTGTAACATTTAAACTTGTCTGGGAGGTTCCTAAGACTCTCCTCGTTTTTTTTTAATTCTTGTTTCTTCATTCTGTTCTAGTTGAATGTTTATTTCTTTCTTCTGCTCCAGACCATTCATTTGAGTTCCAGTTTCCTTCCCATCACTGTTGGTTCCCTATACATTTTTCTTTATTTCACTTTTCATAGCCTTTATATCTTCCTCTATTTTGTGACCATACTGAACCATTCCTGTGAGCATCCTGATTACCAGTGTTTTGAACTTTGCATCTGATAGGTTGGCTATCTCTTCATTGCCTATTTGTATTTTTTCTGGAGCTTTGATCTGTTCTTTCATTTGGGCCATTTTGTTTTTGTCTTGGCATGCCTGTTCCGTGTAGTAAGTGGTGTAACCGTAGGTATTGGTCATGTCAGGGCAACCCTTGTGGCTGCATTGTGGCACTATATGTGGGGAAGGGGTCCTAGAGAGAACTGTGCGGCTTGCTCGGCTCTCTGTGGGCACACCTGCAGCTGCTCAAAAGCAAATTGGGCTCTTCTGGTGCTGATTCTCAGGTGAATGGGTTTGTGTACGCTCTAGGACCCTGTGAGTCTCCAACAAACTCTTCTGTGAGGCTGGGAATTTCTCCTGCTGCCTTGACCCCACAGGTTTTTTCAGTCAGAGGTTTTGATGCTTTGTTTTCCTGCCCTGGATCCCTGGGTTTCGTGGTCTGTCTTGCTCCCTAGTTTGTTCCTCCTGGTTTATCCACATGCGAATGTGGGACTGCCTGGTCTATCAACTGCTGCCTCGCTCACCCTGGTCCTCCAGCCACAGCCTTGCCACGAGTCCTCTCCACCCTGGCTGCCCATCTCTGCCCCTCCTACCTGTCTAGGTGAATGTTTCTTCTTAAACTCCTTGGTTGTCAGACTTCATACAGTTTGGTTTTCTGTCAGTTCTGGGGTGGGTTTTTTTTTTGTTTGTTTTTAAATTGTTGTTCCCCTTTTGGTTGTGGGAGGAGGCAAAGTGTATCTACCTACGCCTCCATCTTGGCTGGGAGTCTGGCCAACACCTACATAACAAAGTATTTAAAGCAAAATGATATAATTATGTAAATATATGAGCACCTATTGGGTTTACATGGTAAATGTGAACACTAGATAAAAATTATCATTCTTTTTTATACTTCAGTGTTAAAGACTCCATCAAAATCGGAACCTGGTTGTTGGTAGTTTCAGGCTCCTTGCAGAAGCAAATATAGGGAACCATGAAAGGCTTTCCACCCATTGAGTGGAAGCTCTATATTCTTTCATGTATTTTTTGTGTTTTTGTCTGTACTTAAATGCAGCTTAAATTTTTTCACTGGCAGGTACACACATATTTGTTACAGTGAATTTTCAGTTCAGTGATTACATGCTGGGTAGTAATTTTGCATTTCTTTTTAGCAAATATTCTGACAGAGTTCCGACAGCTAGAGATAACTGTTTGTTTAAGAGTTAAGAAAGACACTAGAAATCTCCATAGGGCATACAGAGATAAGCAAAATAAAGTCTGAAATTTGCTAATGTATTATAAAACAACCCAAATTAGCAGCATAAATTATTTGCTATAAGTTAAGTGCTGTAAGATAAAAAGAGAAGGCTCCTAGGAGATGAGAGAAGGGAGAATTGAAGAACTGAAATGAAAGGACTAGAGAGAAGAGGTTTCTGGGTTAGAGGGTAACAAATTCAGAGAACAGCAAAAAAAATCATTTGGATAAGAACAAAGCTGTGCATAGCAGGAGAATATTAGGAAGTTTTTGCATGGGCATAATGTTTCAGTTCTCTTGGGTATATATGTCAGAGGACAATTGCTGGGTCATATGGTAACTCTGTGTTAAACATTTTAGGAACTGCTAAATAGGTTTCCACAGCATCTACCCCATTTTCCATTTCTGCCACCAATATCTGAAGTTTCCAATATTCCAAAGAAATTTAACATTGATAAAATAATCTTGTATATAGCCTATATTAATATTTTTCTAGTTGTCAAAAAATCCATATAACTTCAAGGTATAATATACATATCTTTAACTCTATTCATTTAAAGTATACAGTTCTGCCCTGACTGGTGTGGCTCAGTTGGTTGAGCATGATTCTGTGAAACAAAAAGTCACCATTTCTATTCCTGCTCAGAGCACATGCGTAGGTTGCAGGATCAGTCCCCAGTCGGGGTGCATCCAAGAGGAAACCAGTCAATGTTTCTCTCTCTGCATCGATGTTTCTCTCCATCTCTTTCTCCCTCCCTTACCTTCTCTCTAAAAATAAATAGATAAAATCTTTAAAAATAATATAGTGCACAGTACTATAGATTTAGTATATTTACAGAGTTGTGTAATCATCACCGTAATCTAATTTTGGAACATTTTTGTGACCCCCATCTCTATAGTTTTTTGTTGTTGTTGTTGTTTTTTTTTTAATTCAAGCCCTAATTGAGGATCATGCATTGCACTTGGTTAATATAATTCTTTAGTCTCCTTTAATCTTCCCCTTGCTTGACATTGACATTTTTACAGCTTCTAGGCCAGTTGCCTTTTAGAATGCCCCAGAAACTGGATTCTTCTGATTGTTTCTTTTATTAGATTCAGGTTAAATATTTTGGCTAGGAAAAGGTTGACTCTTAGTGTCATAGTAGAGACTAAAATGGTATTCAAGATTTTTAATCAAGCTACGCAAACAGAGCTGCTAAGCTTTAGGAAAAGTACCCTGGTGAAGTTTAATTTAGAGGCAGGGAGACCGGTTAAGTTTTTGCTGTAATTAGGCATTAGTAACTTACATGTTGCCATTGGCCATTCCTTATGTAGTCCTAGGACCATGTGTCTTGGAAATCAGAGCTTTTACTGGAACAAAAGTTCTGTATTGAATAGGAAAATGGGAGCCAAAAATCTTCATGGACAGAGTAATAAGTACTCCCACAACAGAATATTCATGGACATACTAAGTTGACAGCTTTTATCAGAGGCCTTTGTCAAAATCAAATGTAAACACAAAGGGGGATCGTATGCTAGGGGACCTGTTTCTCTTCCCACTCCTGGCTGGTTAGCAAAGAAAGAAAGAAAACTGATAGTCATCATTTCATATTTCAAGAAAGAAGGCATTATGCTTCTAATCAGGTCCTACTAAAAGTATTTATTATTGTAAAACTACACCAGAAATTGTCAATGAATCATCAGAATACATCTCTGGACCATTTAGAATAGTGAGGCTTTTTTTTTTTTTTTGAGAAGTTTTATAAAAGTTTATTTGAGCCAAATTTTTTGTTAAAAAAAAAAAAGTTCAACCTTTGAATGAGTTGAAAAATGTGTGGGGGATGGAGGATGGATATTTGAGTTCATGTCCTCTGTACTAGAGTAATTAGGTCCTGCCAAGCACTTCTTATCATTTGTTTTTATTTATTCATAGTGTTCTACGGAAACGAATTCGAGAAGACAGAAAAGCTAACACAGCTCAGAAGGTGCAGCAGATGAAACAGAGGCTAAATGAGACTGAACGAAAAAGAAAAAGGTGGTTATATTGGCAACCTATTCTCACTAAGATGGGGTTTGTGTCAGTCATTTTGGTTGGCGCTTTTGTTGGCTGGACACTGTTTTTTCAGCAAAATGTCCTATAAATAAAACAATATTGCCCAGCAAGCTTCTGCACTAATAGCTAACAGCGTTGCGTTAATCACAAGGGTTTTTCTGTTAGCAAACTCCTCATACCCCAAAAACGGACACCAGTAGAATAGACACCACCCAGATAAATGATATATTCCATCTCAGCCCAGCATCTCAGGGCTCTGCCCCCAATATGTAAACGGTGATCTAAAATAAAGACTTTAATGCCTGTTAAAAACTGGTACATTTTGCAACTGTATTCATCTATGTTAAACATAAATGATCAGATTGAGAGATATCCTTTATCAAAAGGATTTGTTTTTGAGGCTATCTGGATTTTAACGTTGATACAAGCAATAAATATTGTGGTTTTATCTACATTATTACTAAAAGGAAAATGACCTTTAAATAATGTGTGTAATATATAATGTACTATTAATATGAGTATCAATAATTTATATTCTTAACCATTTCAGGGTAAATATATTTTATAAGTACCTATTTTATCTTACTTTTTTGTACTTTTATAAAAAGCTCAATTTGAAAAATCTGTTACCATAAAAATATTGTATGTTGATTCAATTGTACTGGCTACATTTTCATAAAGAGAAGTTTGATATGAGAAGTTAGAACTCTGAGTAAGCATTTTTTACTATATATTTTCATTTCTTTTGTTTTACAGTTTTTCCAATTTAAAAAAAAACAAGCAAAAATTTTCTCTAAAAATATCTTTGAACAAAAATTCTTCTTACTAATATAGTCAGGTAACAGTTGGTCAAGACTTTGTAAAGAAGTTGGTTTCTGTAAAGCCTATTTTAATACTCTTTATTGTTCATGAACACTTCAGTGTGACTACCCTAATTTATAATTAGACTAAATCATGATTTAGGAAATAAAAATAAGGAGCAGCATTTTACTGCCATGATTTCAGTTTACTAGACTGAAGTTTTGAAGTAAAAATATTTTCAAGTTCTTTCTACTTTAATAGTATGATGGTGTAAAAACCTTAGATTGTCCCTTTAAATTGTTAACAAATATATTTATATATGGCTTAATGAATTTAATTGCTGATTAGAATTGGTAGCTTTTATCAGACTTCAACATCCCATTACATTAAAGTTATTAGACTCCAACATTCCATTAAATTAAAGTCATTATAAATTTAATTGCTGAAATAACATTATTTCAGTGTTTTTCAAACTGTGATTTCTAAGGAATCACCAAGAAGCGGAAGGAAAAACTCTAAGCTACCAACCTTTACTTTCAACCAGACTATTTCTCCTTTACCTATTTTATATACTGCATAAGATTTCTGCATGAGGTTTAATTTTTTAAGGGGTGAGTTATGACTTTAAAAAGTTGCAAACCATTGGTGTAGATAGATGTTTGGAATTGATTTGAGTAGCCTACTTGAATGTGTTAAATTGTGCTGCAAGTATGAAAGCAGGATGTAGGTGGTACTACATATTAAATAAACTTCTGCCTGTGTCCTAATTCAGTGTTACTGTGTCCTGTAACCTTTAAATGGGAAGGAGGTAAGAGGGACATTTTCTTATGTTTGTCTGCATTAAATCTGTGTTCAGGCACCAAGACCTTTATGTTTTAAGTTGGTATAGTTTTAAAATCTTTCTTTCCAATTTGCCTTGCTTTGCCAAAATGCAGTATATTATTCTGCAACTCAGATATGGCCACACCAAACTAAATTTCCCATTTGAAGATAGCCTTGCTTTAGCAAAAAGGTAGAGACTTCTTAAAGAAAACAAATGCTGGTAATGATGCCCACAGCCCCATTGCAGGTGAATGTGCTTCATTGGATTTGGTATCGCAGCTTTGCTTTTTGTCTGCTTTCTGTCCTTCTGGGTGGTGTTTGTTGTAATATATTTCTTAAATTTTAGCCAATATAGTAAACATTTTTTGATGAACTTCTGCAAATGTTAGTATTCTTATCTGCTCCAAGTAGATCCTTGAGGATAGTATGTTAAGTTTTTACCAATAGTAGTGTTTTTGGTGGTTGCTACATACTAATTATTGAATATATATATATGGCAACATGCTATGGTGCCTGTGGTCGTCATCCTGACCCCTTATTAAGTGAGCTTGGCATGTCAAAGAGGATCTAGGCATGCCTTCTTAGGTAACAATCAGAGGAAAGAGTTACTAATCCATAACAAGTCCTACATCTTTACAAAATTTGAGTATCCTTAGGTCTTCATAATAGTTCTAATTACAACAATTTTCAAAGTCAGTTATATAGTTTGACCTCAATGAAGTAGTTAGTTAAGGAAGAAGAAAAGAGATTTTTAAAGCCAGAGGCTTTATTACTTACATTAAGAAAAGAACATTTACCTTAATATCCAGTTCATTTGTATTTATATTTATCCCTGCTGATAAACTGATACCATCTTCTCTGGCTACACCAGCTGGTTACACACTTGTTTCCAAGTCTAGCCAAGTATTTTATGGTATCCTATTTTTCTATTTATGTTTGCACATATATGTAAAGATACAATTCTCCATACTTAATTTATCCATATAGAAAATTAAAATAATAACCTTTTCCTGAACTCTTAGAGGGTTAAAAAAATGTAACATGTACTAGTACATAGAAAACTTCAGAACAATATAAAGACCATTTCTCACATTTAGACAATGTTTTATATATTTGCTCTGTCCTTTTTCTATCTTTCTGGTCCATTTCCCTGTGTATTAATATTTCTACCAAGGAATGAAAAGAAAAGAGAAAGGATGTAGAAAAAACTTGTCGATTAAAAACAAAAAAGTAAGCCCTGACTCAGTGGATTGAGCGTGGGCTGTGAACCAAAGTGTTGCAGGTTCAATTCCCAGTCAGGGCACATACCTGGGTTGCAGCCCATGGCCCCCAGCAACCGCACATTGATGTTTCTCTCTCTCTCTCTCTTTCTTTCTCCCTCCCTTCCCTCTCTAACAATAAATAAATAAAATCTTAAACACACACACACACACACACACACACACACAAAAGTAGCTCTGCTTAACAGGTATGTCAGAGGAAGGAGTCGTAACTTATAAATTAATTTTATGTATACTTGTTTTAAATAAATTAGAATTGATGTGAATCAAAAAATACATATTGGTTTAAAAAGTAGTTTATGACATGGAGCAGAATTTAGTTTTAATATCAGTTCCTTCTTTGCTTTCAGCATCAATGCAAAGTGATGGTTGCTACCATTTATTGATCGTTTACTGTGTGCCAAGCACTGTGCTAAGCACTTTTCATATGTTATGTTATCCTATTTAATCCTCACAACAAGCTTTTGAGGTAGGTGGTGTTATTATTAAGCCATAACCAACCTGAGACTTGGCATTTCTACATTCTTTTATGGTGCTATCATTGAAAAGTCTCATGTGTATATTATATTTCAAAATTTAAAAAACTCTCAAAGATTTTCCTTGTACAAGTCATTTCCCTCTTAGAAAAATATCTCTGAATAGATTCTATATAATAAATAGACACAGACCATAACCTGATTTGATTAGAAATATTTTTATTTACCATTTTATACTCTTATTTTAATGAGTACCTACATCTTCAAAGTTCCTGCCTGGTTATTGTACAGATTTTTAAATCTAGTTATCCTTGATTTTTACTTTCAGATATAAAGTTTATAGAGTTTTTTTATGTAGTCTCTTATAAGCCAAATGCTTATATGTATCATCCATTTCTTCCTGTGTTCAGGCAAGAGTCTGTCAACACTGATTTATTTTTTCTTCCAGCAGGTCCATATGAGTTTGTCAGTGGGATAGAGAGTGTGGATCTCTCAATCTACTGCACACTTGCAATTGGGTGGAGGGTCACCAAGGTTAGAACTTGGTGCATTGATCCTGATCTGATACTAAGTGTGTAGCAGAAATGTCTGTTCTGTGTTCCTGGTTCTCATATCTACATTAGCAGCTAATTAAGTCTGTTTTACTTAAGAATCCCTTGTTTAGCTTTGACTTACATGTTAGCAGCACAAAAATCTTATAAATAAAATTTTTTTAAATAGAAATGTATTTTTTCCACATAAAATTAAGTTTTGACTTAAAATACAGGATCTTGGTCATTCTTTGGGTGATTTATTCCAGAGTTGACTTTTTTCTTTCATCTTTTTCCCTAGTTCATTTGTCTGGATTTGATTCCATTTTTCCTTATACCTATCTTCAAAACATTTGTCCCATAAACTGTTTTTGGGACAGCCTCTACAACAGTGGATATGTTACAAATGCCAGCCATCTCTTTTTCCATTGAATATGTATAAGTGATAATATTTATGCCTTGATAGGAAGAAACTCAGTTTGCGTAAGCTCCACAATGTCCCACCCCGGAATCCTCAGTTCAGATTCTATGTACTTTATTGGCTACATTCCATGTACCTGGCCATAATGTAACCATTCCATTGTTCATCTGGATTTGGGAATTTAAGTTTTTAAGATCTGGAAATTTTATGTTACCCACTTTGTTAGTGTTCTAAAGAAAAAACTTTTAGGAAAATGATATGAGTGTGGCTATCTCATTTTTCCCTCAATAGTAGGAATATTCACCACATTCAGGTTGCTCCAAGAACAGCATTGAGCAATTCTGCACAAGTGTTTTCTTTCAACACTCTTCAGAGAAAGTGTTATCTCCTTTGGCTACTGGATTCTGGAAACTTCTTTGAGGAGAATTTTTCTTCACAGTCAGTGCTGATCCTTTTCTCATGTTGTATGCTGTTTACCCCATCACAGAGCATTGCCATATGTAATCAGCCAATCAGACAAGAAGCCACTGCTTGGCTTGACATTTCTTTATCAGTATCACTTAGAGTAGCATATAAGAATTATGAGATTTAGTCAGGGTATTACTTACAGAGTCTATTTTAATATTGTCTTGTTTCCCATTACATGGTATATTTTGGGGAGCTCTAAGAACTGCTTAGGAATTTTTTTTTCTTTATAGAGACTATTTTTTAAAACCCAATTTTTTATTGGTTCTCTAATTTGGCCTAGATGTTTTAGATACATGATTACATTGCTATTTCAAATTTCTGCTTTAAAAAAGTTACTTTGAGTTTACTTTGAATTCAGGAAAGGGAAACTGTAAGTTCATTTTGTTTATAAGGCAATGCTTTGCTCATCTTACATATTTTTTTATTCTTTTCAGTAAAATATTAGTGTGGATATCTGGTGGCAAAAACTATTTTGGGTGCAGTTTTGGCTTTCTGTTACCTCAGGTGTGGAGCCAGCTTGGGAAGATTTTACTTTTTCTGTAAATTCCACTCTTGCATCCATTCCAGCATTGGGATGGTTGGCAGTATGTGAGGGCTGCATTGCCAAAGAAAGCACCAGGCAGGGCTTATTCCACTTGATTTCTTTGAACCCATTTTACTTTAGTCTTGTTAAATAAATCAGAAAAGATTATTCGGGTGACCATATTTTTTTTCCTAAAATGAAGCCCATTTGTCTTTTCAGTCTTGCAAATAAATACAGTATTTTAAGATAGTTAAAATACTCATTATTTCATTGTATTTTCTTGTCCCCCATAATAATACTCACAAAGAAAAAATATGAATTTTTAAGAACACTTGACAGTTTCTTTTAGTTGTTTTAAATGGTAGTTTTCCTTGGTAAGTGTACCTTTAATGCCCTGCTGGGGAAGACAACATTGTATGTTGAATACCTACAGTTCTGCCAATTAGTTAAATACGTAACCTAAATTTAACCCTCATAATGCTTCTTCTAGTTATATAACATTACCTCTATTTTCAGATAATAAAACTGAGTCAAAGGATAAGTACCTTGTTCAAAATTGCCAGCTAGTATATGACAGCTGAGATTCCATTAGAATTCCGTTAACTCCAGATCTCACACTTTTTCCATTATGTCACACTGAAACTCTGTTTTTATGCAATATTTAAATGGGAAAACATTAGACATTACTTGTTAAATTTTAAAGGAACCCACTATTTCTTAAGTGAAACAAAGTTTTGTCCCTCCAAAAAAGCATGTGAAACAGTTTGAACTACCATTGGGCCAGAGAAATAGTGGAACATGAACATGTTCTTTAACACATTATTTCATTCACTTTGGTTAGAGTAAGTTCCTTTGTTTTAATGAGCAGTTTTCTGAATGCATGGGAAATCAGTAACACTCAGTAAGTACCTTTGCATCAGTCAGAATCAGTAAGCACCTTTCCTTACTGCAGCCACTTGGATTCAGGGCTCTGTGGAACCCCACAATAAGCAGCCAAAGTCATTTCTGTGACCCACAGACATCTAATAGGAATGTTTTCTTAATGACTTGACATTTATCTATCAGTGCTGGAAAATCAAAGAAAAGGAATATTCAGAACACTAAGGTGCTTGGTACTGTTATTCTTTCCTTCCGTACATAGGAACCAGTAGTCAGGAAGAAGCTCAATTCACAGTATTTTGGGGTTTTTGACTAACTGTTTTGGATAAATGTGTGGGTGTGGTTTTATATTTCCTATTTATATGTGT